CACCCCAAACGACCCAACATTTGTGGTATCGTCTAAGCCATGCCAGAGTGCTCAAACTAGAATAAACTAGTGAGCATGTGCATATATAAATATATATATATATATATATATATATATATATATATAAATATATATAAATATATATATATAGGGTAGTAGTGAACACTTTTTTTATAGAAAACTTTGTGGTTGAAAAGACTGGGTACTCTAAGATGTGGCCGGTACTCGCTCCCATTCATCAAGCTGTCCAATCAGGTCTTCTCATCCTCTTCCTTTATTCCCTCCCTTCTTTTCTGTAAGATACAGCTTAATTGGGGATCTATAGAGTGTATAAACAATAACAAGGCCAGACCATGACAGTGGCAGCTGCGTTCTACGCTATTCTCTATTCGCCAAGTGCGCGGAATCTTTGGCTCTACGGTTTAAATTCCTTATCCGAGAAGACTAGAATATCTGACCATTTGCAGATTTCATGGCAGAGGCAGCACGATGTCCTCAGTTATTGTAATACCCTGAGTGTTAGTCCTGTCTAAGACTTGAGCCCGTGACCTCCCGCACAGCAGTCCGCCGCTCTACAATACGAGCTAGCCATCTGGCCCCGGTTGTTCGAAAGATGGATAACGCTATACACTGGATAAATCTCTATCGGTTGGTTAGCGCAGTACGTTTTGGTAACACCTTTCCACTGGATAGCAATTTATCCGTTGGATAGCGTTATCCGCCCTTTGAACAACCGGAGCCTCAGGCCAACCATAAGTGAAATCTCACTTTGAGAACAAGGCCAGTAAGGTAGATGGCAAGCAGTGAAAACCACAGCATCTTAATCTCCTCTTAAGGTGCGGCTGGATTGCGTGTATCAAACAAAGGAGATCTGATAAAGATCAGTTGGGATTAATAGGCCGTTTTTCAATCCTAGGTCCATCTAAAAGCGAGGAGCGGTTGCGGAATGAAAACAGAGGGAGAAGTCTTGAAGAAGACAGGAGGGAAGAGCTAACACAGAATGTCCTTCTGTCATTTGCAAGACAAATTGCCGTCGGCATGGTAACTTACAATGTCTGTTGTATTCTAGCGAAGTGGCACCTTTAACCCTTTGAGAAGCATTAGCATATTAAGCCATGATGTGAGATGAAACTGTCTAATATTAGGAGGCTTCAATGACTTTTTCCCTGAGCGACTGTCCCTCGTGAAAAGGGCGACTGTTCGACTGTTTTGTTATCCTAAACCCAACCCGTGAGCCTGCTGACAGGCCAAACATCAAAGGGCAGTGAGAAGTCTTAATAGAAACCTTAAGCAAACCACGACGACAACGGCAACGAGGACGTGGCAGAACAGGAGATTTAATTAGCAGAATAATAACTCGGCACTTGAATATTAAAACTTTGTACATATCTTAGCAGCCCTCTGCCAAAGAACAACGTTAAATCACCAAAATCTATGTTGTCCGGGAACGGAAACACTGACGGCAAATTGTTTAAGTTTAAATTTGGAACTTAATCTCGCTCACACACCTGATACTGAAGTTGAGGTGTGGCGCCGTAAGAGACAGTAAGCACATCCAGCCACGAAATTCCTACTATAAATTTAACTTCATTTTTTAATCGAAGTATTTTCGCTGTGGTCGTCCTGACTGCTTAAGGTTCCTACTGACACACATATTTCCACTTCTATCAACATTTGAAAGCTGTACGCTAATGAAATATTGTTGAAAAATGAGTTTGGCGCTTTCAAACACACTTTACTTCGTCGATTATTATCGTCGCATCACATTACCTTTGTTTCAATGCTTCTGATGTGCCTTGAAATTTTTTTTTGTCAAAGAAATTTTTTACCTTTCATAACTTTGTCTATCCTCTCAGGAATACTTGTCACAGAAGAAGTTCATTCACCGCGATCTTGCAGCACGCAATATTCTTGTCTGCGATGATAATCTTGTTAAGATATCTGACTTTGGCTTGACCAGAGATGTTTACGAGAGCTGTGAATACCAGAAGGCCCAAACTGCTGGAAAACTGCCCATCAAATGGATGGCGATTGAATCGCTCTTCGACAATACTTATACCACGAAAAGCGATGTGTAAGCGGCAGCACAGTTTTCTTTCCCTCTCGATAGAGTAATTTTCAATTGAGAGCCGAAAGAGACTCGAGATTGCTGGCTCTTACTGGGTGTGACTGTAGCTGACACTGTTGACGTATCAAACAGGAGAGAACGAAAAAACAACCAAGGAGGAAAACAATGGGATAATGAGGCTGTGTACTATTGTGACGTGTCCTGTGTGTTCTACACAAGGAGCTAGGTTGCTTCGGTTTCGCCTTACTTCACTCTGTGATTGGTCTAAAATAAAAACTCGTGCCAACCTCCTAACAAATCAGATTTAAAACTAAAAACCAATCTCGACTTGGTTGCTCGTGTTTTCTCACGTTTTCAGCCGTTTGCAAGCTTTTCCTTGAGGTGTCATTGGCTCCCTGTGAGGTCTCCTCTTTTCTTATTGGCTGGTGTGTCTTCTCTAGTTTGGATTTTTAACATTAATCATTAATCGCTTATTAACACATGAACAAGTTCTGATTTTGATCAGTTCGAAAGTAAAGGAAATGAGGGTACATTATTTGGTTAGTCCGAATGTGATGTGCCGTAGTTTGCTGCCTGAATTACCATTAATGTGACAAAGATAACGTAGAGGTCGCACTAGAGCTGCTTTCTCCGAGTTAAAAAAAACATTTCGAGATGTATACACAAAACGGTTGTGCTTTAGAAAAACGCCTTTTTGATGATTGAATGAACATACATTTAATCCTGTAAATCAGACAGATCAAAACTAATTCTGTAGTCAGTGCTACATCTAATAACTGAAAAGATTGTGTAGGCTCTAACTTCTTATGCCGCCCAAATGCTCTTCATGATCAGTTTAACGTAGATGTATATTATCGTATGCAATGTCTAGGACTATGTTTACATCTCTAAATTCATCAGAAGTGAAGAGCCGCTTCTTCTATCTCCCCGAAATCATCGGATGAAATCCAGCTGATGACCGAAACAAACAAGTTTCAAATAATTTATAAACGAGGGGGGATGCGAGTTGTAAAAGGAAGAACTGACAACATGACCCATTGCAAAAACGGAAAACGGCTGAGGAACTGAATTTATCACTTTTCTATCCGTATTTTAGGAAAAAACGGAAAAGAGCCGAAGGAAGTGAGGAACTGAATTTCTCACTTATATACTCTTCTCTTCGTATTTTAGGTGGTCGTATGGCATTGTGCTCTGGGAAATCATAACTCTTGGTAAGAACACGCCTCTTATCCATAGCTTTGAAGCTACAGTTTTCTAAATCATGTACTTCAATGGAAGAGTTTGATATTGCAGATGCCTCAAAAATCATTCTCTGTATTTTACGTCTCAAGAGGTTCCATGATATCACATTTCAAGTAGATTTTTCTACCTTAGCGTTGTAGTGCAGAACTTGTTCGCTACATTTTTTTGGCCAGTATTTTTCACAGCGACAGCTACAACTAGGATGGCAAAAGATCTTGTGAGGGAATTAATGAGACTTTTCCTCGATCCAAACCAGCTTTTTATCTAGCACCATTTCACCTTGGACAAACAGTTTATTCGTTTTGACCAACCTACAAAACTTACAGATTTTTTTAAAAGGACTAGCTGACTTCTCAAGATTCACCATAAAGAGTGCATTTTTAAACGCGAATCTGTCTTATTCTCTTTTCATTCAAACCGTATTTTCTAACACAGGTGGTTCTCCCTATCCCGGTATATCAGGTCGAGATATTCATAAGCTAATCAAAAATGGATACAGAATGGATCGACCGGAGACGTGCAGTCAGGAGATGTGAGTTAGATGAGAAGCAGAAGCCATCCCTCTGAACTTTCACCCTTACTTCTAGAAAACTACATTCACTACCGAAATAAAATTTTAAGTTTCCAAATTTTCCTCACATTTTGAAATTAATTTGTTGCCTTTCCTGAGAAAATAGGGTAAAGGTTTAGTGCTTTCGATTAGAAAACTGATTGCCTTTCAGATTCTTATCTAAGACTTATTTCCCATGTCGAAAAACCAAAATTTTTCATTTCTTATTCGAGCTGATCCAACTGCGATCAAGCCAACCGAAGGAAAGGATGAATTTTTCATTCTGCATCATATTTTTTCAGAGATATTGCTTGCGGAAATTCTTTTACGTTCAGCTTTCCTTGCAAGGAGGCAATCCTGGATCAGGCAAGCCCTGAATATTATTTGAGGCTCAAGCACACCGATACTTATCTGGCATCCAACTGGTTGGAAGATTTCGTTTGCAGTATCTTATATTATTGAAATGCTATCGAAATTAACATTTTTGCGCACGAGATTTCCAAGTTGATCGTGACCTGTTAACTTGCAGTTTTGAGGATGTCTGAAACTCAGGACTGACTTTCAGCGGTAATTTTTGTATATTTTGTTCATAGTTACCAAATCATGTTATCTTGTTGGAGAGCCAATCCAGAAGACAGGCCAAGCTTCACAGATTTGAGAAACGAGCTGGAAAAACTGCTAGAAGAACAAGGGGACGAACAATACATCAGTGTCAACTGCGCCGATTTTGATGATTACTGTGCTCTGGTGGGAAACCAAAGCAGCTCAAGCGACGATGAAGAACTTGCCTTGCTCACAAGTGATCAAAGTGCGGCGATATAGACGCACACCCCATATTTATAAAATGAGTCTCGCATAACACTACTATCATTTGAAGTGAGCCCCGCCATGAACCTAGTGGTGTATTAAGAGGTCCTTTCCACACGAGGTTAGGGTGCTTTGGGGTTCAGTACTGGTGTTTAAATCTACAGCAAAAGTAACCAGAAAGGCCAATCAGAATTAGGGTGAAAGGCCAATAAGATCACAAGTATAACTTAGAGAGCTGGAGCTTTATTTCAAAGGCAGAGACAACTGACAGCGATCAAATTACAAATGATTGAGTTTCGTATCTGATTGGTTGAAAGAATGGCGAGAATTTCCCAGACAAACCACAAAGCGAAGTAACTGAAAACCATTGCGATCCAGGATTATCCTCGAAACCTCCTCGATACAGTAACTGTACAAAATTGAACCATACAATACGTTCTAGCAATGACGATTTTGAATTAAAGTATTAAGACCAAGGAAATGCTAGCGGAACTGTGAGTGCAAGAAACGGAGGAAATTGTTGATTTCTTGTGCAGTCTGTGCAGCTGAAGATACTGTATAGAGGATATTAACGTGCTACATCTATTTAAGGTTTTGACAACAAGTTTAAAATTAAGTTGACAGCAAACGTTTTTACCGGATAAACCCTTTACACTCTAATAAGGATGAGCGTCTAATTTCTCCCAACAGCGTCTTCCCTGAATCAAACATTACTGCCGTGAGAATACAGGAAATGATCTCAAATTCGAGAAGGTCTTGATTGTAAGAGAAATTCTCCCTGTGTAAGCACCATAGGAAATGTATAGAGAACGCTATGGAGAACTTGCATACTGATGTTAGGTCGTAAACGGTTAGAGGAAATGTGCCGTACAGAAAATTTGGAAATTCAGCTGTTGTTTTTGGTTTGTTTGATTTTTACAGAAAAAGTGGCAATACCGTGATCGAGCGGTCTTTGTAGTATCATGTAAACCATTTTTTGAAACTTAAAGTTGAGTTGACAGCGACATTTTCTAATTGATAACTTACTTCTCTCTCACCACTCACCCTGTGAATGAACACCTTAGCTCAAAGACTTAACTGTCAGGCCCGCTAATTATTGATATCTGAAGTCTTGTCAAATTTGGCGTGCTATAAAAAAAGTTTGATTTGTTCTTTTTCTTAAATTGTTGCTCTCAGAGAGTCTAAATGGGGTTATGGCTTTTAATTTAGGGCGAACGGTTTAAATTTTTGCCATTTCACGGCTAATGATTAACTTCTTTCGGTCACGGTTAAAAGATAAATTTTTACGGTTAACTTTTCACTACAAGTAACGGTTGAAATTTTCCAATTTTAACGCCTAACTGTTAAATTTTTTGCCGCGTAGTGGTTAACGCTTACTAACCTCATGAAGACCTTCAGTGTATGGCAGTGTGATCAAATTTGATATGTAAATAGATACAATGTAAAAACAAATACACCAGAGATGTAAGAAATATCTTCCTGACGTCGTCTTCTCAGCTTTTACCATAAATCAATGGGTGAAAATTCGGGCCTTAACTTGCAGTATGACCTTCGACTCGGCTGGTAAGAATTATATGTGTAATATATTATATGGCTGTGTCTCACAAGGACTGGGAACTACCGAATTCACGAATTTGATTGGCTGAAATCAATATTGAAAGCGGTCTAGATTCAAGACCGGCATCTAGACCGGTCGAGAAAAAAAAGGTACAAAGAATATAAAAAAATGGCAAATAAGACACAGCCATATAATAAACATCTTATTAACCGAGCTAGGTCGGTCTGTATGGGAGAATCTTGACCTCGGTCGCTGGTACAGACCTCACTGCGTTTGGTCGGTATTGGCGACCTCGGTCAAGATTCTCCCGTCCCATACAGACAGACCTAGCTCGGTTAATAAGAACTAATTATTTACCCCACTATAACATATTATACGTCAAACTGTAATAGGTACAATCCCTGGCATGTTGTTTGAAAGATTTTTTTCCTGTAGCTGAACAAAAAAAAAAAAAAAAGAAAGAAAACAAATAAACATATAAAAAGGCGGGGAATTCTCATCCGTGGTCAAGATCAAATTAGGAAGTACCATGAGTTTATATTCTCTTGGCGTTACGTTTCATACTGATTCCAGTTCTTGATTTCTAAGTGTTTCATATTTCGTTCAATAGGTGCAAAAGATCCAACTACCCTGATATACGATGGGCTCTTGACATTTACAATGGCCTCGGAAAGAGAAGGGAACGATAAGTTGATAAAAACTACAATTCCTCTTCTCCGTGTGTGGTCTAACTTTTTTCAGCAATAATGTTTAGTAACCCTTTTCTTTTTGCTTCTTTTCTAGCATGCTACACAAATTTGATTCAGCGCCAAATATGATACATATCAAAACAAAAACCGTTTTTTCAAAAGGAAGGTTGATTTTAACAATACGAAATGTTCAAGAGATGATTATTCTTTTGAATTTCTCAGAAGAGTCAAACGGTGGGCCATAACGTAGACTGCGGGAGGTCCTTGCTTGCCGACGAAGTCCGTCCTGCGAGTCAAAAAAATTCTGCGAAAAAAAAAAATTTAAGTTCCCACGTCGCGCGGCAGAACTCCGGAAGTGAGGCTCACAAAAAGTAAGGATTACGCAGGGCAACACTTTTTTATCTTGTACTTAACTGAGTGCGTCATGCGATTGATTTTGACTCGATTATTCCTTTTGATGAAATGGTAATAAATAAGTTCTCAGTATGGATGGAAGAAATTAAAGGCTGAAATCATTTTGGCAATTCTAAGGGGCAGACTGCGGCAGTTGTTAATCTTTATTCAGGAACATTGGAACCGACGTAGAAACACAATGGCCTCAGAAAAAAAGTCCTAACGACAAATGCAAATGCCGGGCTTTAAAACTGGCTGCTACAAGTGACTCCTATTAGGGAGCTTTAGCAACGACGACGGCCACGGCAACGAAAACGTTGTGTCGAAATCTAACTTTTCGTTTTTGTAACCCTTTCGAGGTTATACTGATGTGTTTCACTTGGAAAGTACTGGCGAACTATTCAGGGACTATATCACTGCGAACGGCGTTAAAGTAACGAGAAAGGAAGAAAAATGAATCGTCATGCGCTCACGTTCTCGAGAAAACCTAAATTTTGGTTATTTCACGTTGTTGTTTTGCCGAGAACGGCAAAGAAATGTACCAAAATGTTAAACGCACGTGCACGGCGATTGTTTCTGCTACTTATGCCTATTCTTTTCTGCAGTTCTCGTTGCCTTCTGCGTCGTCGTTGCTAAAGCTCCCTATTAATTTCATTGATACAGTTTCTGCAACACGTGTCATCGCAGTTAAAGCGCAAATATTTTCATCTTGTTGGTCAGTACTGAATCGAACTGAAGTTGTACTTTGTTCCCGAGTTTACTCTGACGTAAAAAACGTGCTACACAAAATAGTCTGGACAAATTCAAATCATTCAATAGCTTCGTTCTCTATGCATGATAAAAGAAAACTTTTTTGCAACACAACTGAATGAGTTGCGAAAGTAAAACAGGCAGAGCTAATTTACGTTGCCTTTACATATATTGCACTCATTGTGTTTTAGTTTCATTAGATAAGATTGACCTCTACGTCTCTTTCACTATGGCACCGCTCACGAATTTGTTCCACAGCTAACGATAAACTCCCATACTTCTTTCTCACAAAAGCGTAAGTCAGGCCAACAAGACTTGCACAAACGATCGCCACAAGGTATCCTGTTATGAACCTCCACGGCAACGCTTTGCTCTTTGAAACAGGTGAATATTGATCTTTATATCTTGAAACTTTTATCGTTGGTTCTGTGGATTATGAACCCAAAAACAACAATCAATACTTTCCATGTTTGATGTTTTTACGCCTATTTACCTAAAGGTCTTTCCTCTGAAATGAAACCTCCTCTAAGATTTTAATCAAACTTAATTAGGTTTTGGTTGTTTATCTAATAGAGAAATAAATTTTGAAATTAAAGAAGGAGTCGTTGTGCTCGTTTAGAAGCAGCATGGGAAAACAATAGCTTCCGTTTGGCGCGAAAACATGCACGGGTATTTATCCGTGGACATTATCTGTGCCGAGGTGCGAACAGTTTTTCCGAGAACGAGGCTCGAGGAAAACTGTGAGCTTCAAGGAGCAGATAATGTCCAAGGACAAATATACGAGCACATTTTCGCGCCAAATGGAGGCTATTGTGTTTATTATCCTTCAAATACTATTCAACACACCAGGAAAAGTGTTTACGAACAGTTTCTTGTTTACGGCATTGGACTATCACTTTTCAGTGTTCTCTGATACGATTTTACGAACAAGAAAACACGTTCCTTTTTCTGTAACAACCACACAATGCTTGAATTGTTAACGCCGAGTTTTCCGCATTGGACGTAACGTTTGAAAATTGGGGATTATCTCTTGAGGCATATCTTCAGGTTTACCCCTGTTTTAGTGGTGCCTTTAATTTTGACCAATTGCGCACGAGCAAAAATATTTGTTTGACTATAATAAGACATATTCACCTGTCGTGTTAAATAAAATCATAGCCTCCATTCCCATTCCCGTTACTGAAGACACTGCAGCAATCTGCAACAACAAAAAAAATCCTGTGACGCCGGGAAAGGGACAGTAGTTGGGCAACTTTGCTTCGTAATAATTCAATGCAGGAAACGAACCAATGTGCTGAAAGAAAAAGGATGGGGTAATCTGAAAAGAAGTTTTCACAGAACAATAAACTATGATTTAAGCGTGCGGTACGCGGTACTACCTTGAAAATGTAGGTGAATCCGTTATGAAGACCAAAGACCTGAAAACTTGTTTTTTCCTACAAAGATTTAATTCAAATTAGCATTAATTTTAATTCTATGATGGACTCCTCTCGACTTGATGTGGTTCCTCGACATTGCTATTCATAATCAGCCTTTCAGAAGTCGGGATTTGGTCTGGAAGGGTACATTTTAAAAGCAGCATTAAGATAAATTCTCCACTGATATTTTCCATGTACGATAAAGGTTCTGCCCGAGCCTCTTTACATTCACATTACCGTGGATGAAACCTTTTTTTGTGTAATATAAAAGAATTGAGGTGGCCTCAAATATTCAACTTACCGCTGGTAACCTCACGGAATCAAAATGAAGTTGAGCAAAAACTCTGCCCAAAACAGGAATCTTCTTCCATGCTAATCTGTATTCCTGTATGTGATCTGTAATCGGTATTGTATGTGGCGGCCACCACGTGAATATAGCTGTTGACGTATTGCGTGACAGATGGGTGACATTGACCAGTGTCAGGTTCTCTGGTGGTCCGAGCTCTGAGGAATATTATGAAAGGATGAATCAGAGATATCTGCGGCCAATTTTAAAGACCATTGGGCGAAGAGAAGATTTGCGTCAATCAATCCTTACTTAAAAAGACATTATCATTTTGATGATAATGTCTTGAAATTGTGATGATAACCTCTTGAAATAGTGCGAATAAAGAGTTTCCGATTCTGATATTTACCCAGGGAAGGCGTGACAATACATACAGTGCTTCTGTTCTGTTTTTCATCAGAGGTTACGGATATAACCTAAAATGGATAAAGAAGACATATTTCTAAAATGTCAATCTGAGAGAACTGAAATAGTCCAAGAAAAATTTAAGGGTTTCTTTAGCCATGGCCAGGTTTAGGAAGATTTGCAGGAGCAAATTTTAATGTGTATGTCAGTTGTATCAGTTAGTCGTGTTAGTGCGCTGATGGAGCTAATTTCGAATTCATGACTAAAAATTCTTCTAAAGAAATATAATTAAGTATTGGAAATATCAAGTCTTGCATAGGATGCGGAGACATGTTTTAAGTAAACATGTGGTTTATATCTTTTTCTTTTTGTTCCATATCTCATATTTGCAACGTTGCCTTATTCAGGATTGCATCAAACAGCGAAATATCTCACCTCTATGGTGTAATTTTTCATCGGCAGCAAACCTTCTAGGATGTAGTTGATCCGAGTGTCTGTGTAGTGCTGATGGAATAGAAAGTCATGACAAGGGAAAACTGAAGACGACGGGGAATACTTTACATAGTTTAAAACCAGGAATCTCGGAAATCAAGCTATCATGCTGACAGGTTTTCTTTTGGGGCACGAGAGAAGTGGTTCTGTCCTGGTGTACCGGTTCACAAGGGAATTACCATTGTTCTTTCTTTGTTTAGGAGTTATCGGTTAGCTATTGTGTATTGTTTGGTCTTTTGTATTGGCTCTTGTGAACCGGTACACGAGGACAGAACCAGAGAAGTCAAGGAGGCTGTAAGCAGGTTAAGGAAATGACTATCGCACAAATTAAAGTTGGACTTGGAAGATTTGTTTGACAAACAATTTCATTTAAAATCAAAGACATGAACCATTAGAAAATCCTGCAAAATTGAATTTTAACCTAGTGTAACGAAAAGCTTTTAATAGCAAATATAGTGTTGTTACACCATGTCGATCCGATGGAGGAAAGAGCTCCGATACGAATGTTAGTAGATTCTGAAGTGTGTATGCATGTATCTGTATGCCTCTGATGAAGTGAAAAAACTAAGTGTGCTGAAAAAGAGAACGAGCGAATAGAAGAGAGAACGAAAGAACGAACTAGTAAAAGAATGAAACAGCTGAGAATATATTAATGTATTTGGATAATACAATCAACCATCAATACAAGAAAAGGAATGAAGGACCAAAGACGAACGAGTATGTAAATGAACGAACGGACGGACGACCAGACGGCCAGACGACCAGACGACCGAACCAAAGGAAGCAACGATTAACGGGCGAACGCCCCAACGGACTAAGGGACCAGCGAACAACAAACGAACGGACAAAGCACTAAACGTCTCCAGGACCATAGTTAATAGACTAGAGTTTGAAATTTTTCTTGTATACACGTGGTAGGATTTACCTTGCTATGACTGACTTCAAATGCTTCACTTTCCCAATGATCTGCGTGATTGGCTCTCCACTGGATCCTGTAGTCACAGGTTTTGCCTATAAAAATTTTAAATGTCCTATGATAACTCTCTTTTAATTTACGATGCTTATTGTTCCATCGCAAGGATAGTTATGTAGCGTGATAATTCAATAAACCTTTTACTCGTGAAAGAACAGCAAACGTAAAATATAATTCTTCGTTGATTGGGAAATAGTATTAACAAAGGTTTAGTATTACATAGACAGGTAAAAACGAACGATATAAAATCCCGACGTTTCGGCGACTTCATGACGCCATTATCAAGGGTACAAATGAAAACAAAATTAACAATCGATAGAATCCGTGCTAAAGTATTTATGTAGCTACCTCCCCTCTGCAAATTAGTTGTAACTCTTGAACTCGCATTTGATAATTTTGTTTTCATTTGTACCCTTGATAGTGGCGTCATGAAGTCGCCGAAACGTCGGGATCTTATATCGTTCGTTTTTACCTGTCTATGTATTGGGAAATAGCTAAATGAAAAAATACCAGCCCGTTCACAGTTCTTAATTCGTGACCGTTACTATTTACCCTGATTTTCAAAGACATGAAAACCCCGTGTGCTCATGGGTTTATACTGCCAACTCAGTGTTACTTACTACGTGGTGCCAAATGCCAGGTAAGATGTCCTTCAAATCTGTCACCAGCTTTTCTTACATAGGCCTGGAGGCCCTTGGGAGGGTCCAAATGAACTTTATCTATTAATGTATAAAACAGTCGATAAGCAACAACAGGTTTCACAAGATTCGAGACTCTGAGTCAGAGACTGGGACGGGTTTTGGGGCAAGCTTAAGGCGAGTTTAGAGCGATGCCTGCTACAGTATAAGAAGTTGGAGTTGAAGTTGATGCACCAGCGTCAAATCTCAACACTTGCATGTATGTGTTGTTGTTCAGTAAAAGGCTCAAAACGTCTTAGGCACCCCCTCCCCCTCCAAGAAGGTACATCTCGGTCTACTTTTCAGGAACACAAATATTCGACGGAACCTTGATTACTTAACGTTATGTAATTAAATGACTGAGATTTTCTGCATGCTTCGGTTGTCATGGTTATGGCTTTGTTTCTTTTTTTCCTCTGTTAGAGTCTCTTCCGAGAAAAGGCACATCTTAAAAAAAAAAAATCATGGGCAACCCTTTTGAACTGTGTTCGGGATTATCGCTACAGTACAGTATTATCCATTGGTTTCAAATCTTTCCCCTTTAAAAAAATAACTCACCGCTTAACGTCGTCATCCAATCTCCAACATGGCGGAACTCTTTTGATTGAACTTGAACCTGCAGTCCCCTGGCTGTCACGATGGCGACAGAAATCTGCACAGCAAAGCCTTTAAACAGGTTTTGGAAATAGATTGGAATCTCTGAGGACTGAAATGGTAGAATAGAAAATTGATGTTACAGGCTACAGTCCGAGGAAAAAAAGACTGCTTGAATCTCAGTTGTAAGCAAAGTTTCATGCAGTTTGACTGTAATTAGGGAAAATAACAGATTTCCAACAAGATCCTATAAAACGTTTTCAGTAGGATAAAGAAGTTGTGAATTTTGCTTCATTTTTATTTTCAATGGGGCTTAAGCCACCTAAGCGACAAAATTAAAGTCATAAAATACCACATCAATTATTGCAAACCGAAGGAAAATGAAACAAAACTCGAAAAAGGAGGAATGGAGATGGATTGCCGAAACTGAAGAGCATGGAATTGGCAAATGAAAAAACGTTTGCTTCGCCTCGTAAAACAGGAAACTGACGCTTGTTTGACAATTAATTAAATTCGTAATTTTCGTGAGGACGTTTTTTCCACTTAGCTTCAGCTTGAAAGTAAGGGTTTTCTTAAACACGATCATGGCTGTCGCTTTTATATATTGTATATCCATATCTAACTGTTGTTCGTCAATGAAATTCAACCATGAATAGCACGATTTATGCACTTACTACAGATGAAAACATAGTCCATGAGTCTTTTTCACGAAGCCTGTAAAAGCTAACGAAGGTGGCGGGCTCAACTTCTGTAGCATTTTCCGAGAAGAGGCGAAAATCAAAGTTGACCAACAACTCCGTATAAGTGCGACAGAAAAGGTGAGGTCCTTTGACAATGACGTTCCTTGTGTCATACCAGATTCCCCTCGGTCCGTCACCTGATTTGAAAATATACCCAGTCAGCCCAGTCCCTGCGTGATCCCGTTGAGGCCTGATTTTATCAGACTTCTTTTACTGCAGTTTCTTCGATTAACCCAGTAGCTCCGAAGGAGGCCTGAGGTTAAATTTTGGGGTCGTTCAGGTTCAATCGTAGAATCACCGTCGGATTTTTAAAAGGCATGCGTGAGTCTGAGTTTCAAGATCTTGTTGAAAAACAGGTGAAAACACTCTTCGGAATGGATTAAGTTTCTCACATGCTTCCCAGATACTTTTCACATAGCAAATGCCCCTTTCGCGAATGAATATGAAATTTTCTCGGAACTGAGATCTAAAGGCGTTTGGCTTTTAAGAGCATTACTAGCGCCCGAATACGCTTAAGTATGTATCTAACCGGCTTGTCGTAAGGCACCACTAGCACCAAAATAACTGTTATAAAAATCTTTTTATAAAGATTTATTTTTTCGCCACCTGAATTCACGAAGTGGTGAAGGAAGTGGCATCCTTGTTTGCATGCGTCTCCACGGCCATTCTGAAAAACATTTCCATCATAAAATATCATGACGTTATTGGTTTATATTTCATTCTGATTATATGTATGAAGCTACGTAGAACTGGGAATCATCCTATTTGTAATTTACATCAAAAGTTACCAAAAACTGTTTCATCATATACAGCAATGCATGGGATTTTCAGTTCCTTTCGTGTAAAAAAATTTTGACCTTATAGCCATCAGGAATGCAATAGCTATGCACAAGGAAAAAGAGCATCAGAAAAAGTATGGTGGAAAAGGCCATAGGGGAGCAGAGAAGTTGCAGTGGCGAAAGCCACCGAGTTCAATTCCTAGACCTGCCGTCACGTGTGGGTTAAGTTTGTTCATGCTTCTCAGCCTCGCTTCAAGGATTTTTCTCTAAGTCTTCTGGTTTCCCTCCCTCCACAAAAACCAACAATGTCCTCCATTAAATTCCCATAATCGCTCATACGGATAGAAAAGGGCTGAAAAACTGTTAGGATTGGAGAGGTGTCAGATGTCAATAGAAGTAATCGTTACGTCAGAAAATACTTCTTTGAAAATAAAGTATCGAAGAAATTACGACGGAGGGTAAGTGAGAACTCAAAGGAAAGGTTAGAAAACTACTCAAAGCGCGGGAGTCTGCCTGAGTGAAAAAGCAGAGGGAGTTTTATGAACCAATCACAAAGCTAAATAACGAAAAACCAACGAAATGTCTCCGGATTACTTTTAACAATCAATTGTAAACTTCTATTTGAGGATAGAACCTTAATCTTCTTTCTTACCTTTTTACACTCAGCTTTACATTCATTGTATGTCCTGGGTTTAGTACTTTCAAATCTTAGAGGCAGCAGGCACTGTAGGGTGAACAAAACAGGGTTGATTCTATATTGGGGCGAATAATGGTTCCATGTTGGGGTGAATGATGGTTCCATATTGGGGTGAATGATGGCTGCATATTGGGGTGAATGATTATTCCATATATGTTGGGGCGAATGATGATTTTATGAATTATGATTCCATATAGGGGTGAATGATGATTCCATAAAGGGGTGAATGATGATTTCATTTTGGGTTAAATCAGAGGTTTGTAAAATCTCAGTGACAGACATCATGTACGGAGCTAAAAAGAGCTATACTTTTTATCTCGGCCATCACTAAAGTATAAATGAAATCATCATTTGCAATTATTGCAAAAGTTTCTTAGCGACCTCCCGACATTTTCAGACCGTTGATTACGAAAGCCTAAATCAAACTGGTAGCTAAATTTTATAAGATAAATTCCACGTGATTTTAACCTTTTTTAATATAATAAACCTTCATGTTATTGCCTTTTCCCCCTAATATATTGGCGGATACAATTCGCTAAAATTGGTATATCTCACTTCCCATTTAAAGGACAGATGATTTGAGGACATACCTCTTCACAGTCTTCGTCGCAGTTATACGAGTTGAAAAATACAGTGCTTTCTGTCTCCTGCAAAATAAATGGTAATTTTCGAAAGGAATCAGCAAAACATGTCTAAATTTAAATTACCGAAATAATACCAATTTTCGGTGACATAAATTTTATTTGACTTGTAATGAAAACTAAACAAACAAAATAAACCTCTCAAGTGAACAAGTAATTTCAGCCAAAAAAAATGAGACTCAAACTCGTGTCTTCCAGATACTAGTTGGACGCTACTATGAACTGAGCTACCTAGTCAAACGTTGGCAACAATGCAAACATTACAGCTAATCTTTCCCGTAAAGGAACTAGTATTCAGCCGGGTTAGAATCCTTGCGTCGAAGGCTGATTCATTTCCAGGTTTCATTTCTTCAACTGCTTAAATATTGCAGCACATGTGCGAGGATCATTTCTTTACTTTGATTTTCAAAGACTTGCTATGAGTAACCAAAAGAATTGATCAGTAACACAATTCTCGATAGTGACTGATTTTCGATAAAGGTTAAATCTTTTTGTCTTGACTTAGTATAGCAACAAGATTTAGATCCATGCAAATAAAGAAGTTAGTATCTATTTGTCCATTAAGCAACTGCTGTATTGATTGTAACATACCTGCATACAATAAATAGGGAAAATTTCTAAAGAAACCGCGGTTACTGCGTCGGTTTGAGTAGCAAGGTAATTTAGGCTTTATCAACTGAGTTGATAATGTAAATTAGCCTCCGTAAAGAGTTGGCCCTTCAGCCGAGTGAATTGCCCCTACGCTCTGACGAAGAGCCAGCGCTCGAAACGTCATACCTACATACATACACACATACATACCTATATGTAATAAATTGTACAATTTAGGTTGGTACTCACATTAGCTCTAACTGGTTCACCATACTTCACGGCACGCCATGTGAAAAGAAAAATTCATTTATTAGTGGTTATTTTACATGCAGTAGCTGGTTTACTAAGGGTCAGAGGAGTAAAGGGAATGTAGAGCAAACCAGAAATGAAAAGGAAAACTTGAGAGGCACATAGGCACAAGCACAGCGTGTTTCAGGTCCCCTCTCCGCCAGTGGCAGTTCTAACCGTTTCTTTCACTTCAGTTCCACTTTAAATCAGCTACACAGGTTAGAGTTTTAGTCCAACCGGAAAACAATGTTATTGCACAAAAAAAATTGGAAGTAAAAAACTTCCAGATCTGTATATTTTCTAATTTTTATTTTCTAGTGTCGTCCTTTTTAATTTTTGTTTTTCCAGTACGACATTCGACATTGTGGCCACAACAGGAAAACCCTACCGGCATACGTTCTAAAGAGACTTTGACTGGGCCTAATATAACTGAGATACTGAAAAAAAGTTATGTTAATGCCAAAGCAGGATGCCGTCATATGACAAGACAATTCCACTGACCAGAGTTAGTGGAGGAGATTTAAAAAAACTTAGACACAAATCAAAAACCTTCAGCTACTCGAAAATCGTTAAGCAAATCTCTTCACCCAGACCATGCAGGAGGAAAGTTCTGTTCTCCCAGATCGGCGGAAAACTAAGACTATCTAACCGCGGTTGAATTGCACAGTTTTTGAATTAACTGAAACACAATCAGTGAAAAAATATTAGTTCTTTAATTCTACGGGAAGATTTTCACTCCAAACGACTCTTAGGTACTTGTTACTAATTTATCTACTGTTAAGATTGAGGACATAAGCAGTGTTACGAATGGAAAACAAAACTCTCCGAGCGACTACATTTTGGGCAAAATAAATTTCTCTCTTGTTTAAGTAAAAGATATCATCTCCTAAAGATTAACGAAATTCGTATTTCGTAGTTTTACATGTTTTTCTTAAAAGGTCATGGATACTTTAAATGTGTGCTACTTCAATCAGATAAAAGAAGAGATTTCCCTGTAGGATATTTTCAGCTCCAAACCAGTTTAGTGATCTCAAAAAACATAAAATCCCACTCGATCTTTTCATTCCTTGGGAAGGAAAAGTAGGTCCTTTAATTCCTCCTTGTAAACATTTCTAATTTGTCTCCTTCCTCCAGCTGGATAATTTCGCGCATTTTTCGCCGTTTTATTGAGCCTTTCCATTGCTTTCCATCGTTATTGAACTATATCGACACCAGTGTAGAATTTTTTACAGTAGCAAAGTACGTGACTGCAACACAAATTACTCTTTACAAAAAATGTACTCGGCTCGCCAATTCACAGCAGGAAATTTTATTCTTTACTCACTGGAGGCTCTCTGTTGACGCAAATCGCACGGAATTGAAGGCAAAAAACTGCAGTCTGTGACTCTCATTTGAGTGAATGCATTTACCCTATCTTCAGAAAATATTCAGTAAATGATGCGAAAAAAGACCGCATTAACAACATTCAATTCAGAAAATTCATAATTGAATTAAAATTCGCCACGTAGCTCTTAATCCTTTAGGACTCCCTAAGAATTGATATCACTCAATGAAGAAAGCAATACCTGTGAGTCAGTAAATTAGTATAATGTTCTCAAACCCTACATTTCATGACCAAGATTTCATTTTAATCCAAGAAAGAATTGCATTTTAATCCAAGAAGGACACATTGTATACATTTTCAATCATAATTGAATGGGTTCGCCAGTGCTTTCAAGCTGGCTTCGCACGAGTAAAAAAAAAACCCCAGACAAACAACCTGAAGTGGTAGATAACCGGAATTAGAAATACGATCATGATTTTCTTTAAGAATTGCGTGAGTTTCCCAGCTGTTCCCACGAACATCTTTCCTCTGCATTTTTAAATAATAATGAAGATTAAATTGCTTCTTTGCCTACCATTTCCTCGCATTTCATCGTAAATTGTCCTTCCTTCACGAGGTCGTAAAACTTTAAGTCTTCCGCTGACTTACTTGCATGCAAGACTTCCGACCACATTGTTGTGTAAATGAAAGCAAGAAATAACTTTGACATACTTAGAACAGTGCAGGTTTCAAAGTCAGGCAGTATTTTCAAAGTCTTGTCGGTAAAACTTGTAAATCAGAACTTTCAAACAGCGTTTCTATCTAAATTTAGCTTTTCTCTAAATGAACACGCAGCTAGATGACGGAAGCTCATTTGTGTAGTGATCACGTGTCGATAGATTTTTTTTAGATGCTAGTTCCTGTTCATTCTTTTCATACCACCAGGGGTTCATTCACGATGGATTTGCATAAATAAGTGATTAAGTAGCTATTAATCTGATAGTATTCTTAGTAACACCAGTTCTTTGTGGTCGTACGTCTATTTCATAGCTCTCATCAGCGTCTGATCACAGAGTTTGGCTTCATGACTGAAGTTTTTCCTCCATTGTCGGGAGTAGACGAAACAAGTTCAGTGGATAATCAGATTGGAGAAGCTAAAATAGGTTGATGCAGTAAATCAGGATCACTAGCAGTGAATTTTCTTTAATCCTCCCTTCATACTCTATAGGTTGTTGGCGACGACTGATCCTCCCCTCCCCCTCCGTTTCCCCTGAAACCATTTGTTGCCCCCCAAATTTCCTCCAGCTCCTCCTACCCTGACGAAGAGTAATGTCTAGTCCCCCATGACCTAGCTGATGTTGCTGGCGCCATATTGTGATTGGGGGCTAATTGGGAAATCAGGTTCAGTCGTGAGGAAGTGGAAACCAATTCGGGTATAATGCTGCATTAGTTCGAAAAATTGAAAAAATTTTCAGTAAAACTAGTAGATAAACCAGTTCGTGGCTAATGTAAATTCATTTCTTTCCATTTGCAAAGTGAAAGCAGGATAAGAAAGTCTAGTATTTGCTACAGGTTGTTTGAAATTCCCTTGTTTCTTGACATGAACTTGTAATGCCTAAATAAGTTGGTGGAGCTGAAATCGTGAGAAAAGGGAAATATGGACCTTTATAATAACGAAGTTGTGAAATACTTTAACTATCAATAGCCCAGGACCGAGCCTGGCCTAAGGTCGATACCGAGTTACATAGCCTAACTATCATAAGAAGAGTACATGTAAGGCGCGAATCGATTCCAAATAACCCGCGATATTGTACTGCTGTTTGGACAATTGGTTATTCTGTAAAAGGAACCTTAGCCGCACTTGCGTGAGTTGTTCCAAAGGAACGCTCGTGAAATAAATTAGTTGGATAATAAATAACTTATTAGCCAGTTTTGGTGTGCAGTATCGCTGGATCAACGGGCTTGTCAACAGTAGGGCACAACTCGGCGATACTACACACTAAAACGTCTAAAGATATGTCCGATGGCGTCTCTCTACAGAAGGAACCAAATTATAAATGAAACCTGTGTACTGTGAAATTCCGCCAGAACTGTTTGTTGATTGTACAGGCAGGTACTTTGTTACTTTTCCAACCAACGTTAGGACTGGGGCTCTCCCATGCTCCTTTGGACTGTCAACCGGACATGCTGAACATTCCCTCGGGGACTATTTAAAAATAGTCCCTGAGGGAATGTTTAGCATGTAGGTTAAAACCTAGTTAGAGGGTTGGCACCTTTCATCACCTCGACGGCACAGTGGGGGATTCTGGGAGCTGAGACAATTGGCCGACAGACGTAATTATTTAAGACCAGGGTCAGTTAGTTGTAATTTCAAACTCACCTCTAAAAATATAAAAAATAAAATCGAATTTAAACAATTTGGATTTGCAATATCAAAATGGTAAGAACAGATGACTTTGTGATGTATTTCATAAAACGTTCTTATTTGCGAAAAATACGTTCTGTTTCAGGGTAGTCTACGAGTCACCTCATTTCTCTTTCTTTCGTGTTTTTTCGTCCCTTTACACCTTCACTCCATTTATATCATAATTTGCTCTGGCGATGCCACGTGTACGCATTAATGTTTGTGCCTCTCAAAAACTTAAGCCGAAACGGCAACAATGATCGTTAACAATTCGACCAAATTTTCTCCGCTTTTGCACTTTTTGATTAATTAATTCATATTTGGTGTTGTGAGTAAATGAAGTGCTTTTATTCTTCCAACCCCTCTACTCCACAGAATGATGTTCAAGCAACGTCTCGTTACAATATCAAGACAGAGAGGATATGGTTTCTCAATGAACGTCAGAGGAAACGAGAGGGAAGCTAGGAGAGGGGGTTACTAACTTTTCAGGGACGGCAGGGCCTACTTGTATCTTTAACTGGCCGGGGCGAGAGTTTGTAGGGAGGCCTGGGGCCATCCTCCCCAAGAAAATTTTGAAATCTATTTTCGATATAAGTACCTCATCCGCAAAAAAAGTTAAATGTCATCCCTAGGATTTCGGTTGTTGACTTTGCAAAAGTGTACTAAATATCAGTTTATGAAGCTCATTTGACATTGCGAATATTTTTTTACCCTCAGGTCATTGAAAATTAGCGAAAATATAAACATCTTTTTTTCTTATCTTACAACCGTCCGAGACCTATTAGGCCGCAGACCCTCCGTTCTTTGCCCTTTCCTCCTCTTGGAGGCAGAGATTCTCTCGAGCGGAATTAAGTCAAGTTTTCTATCAAAGTCGTGATCATGGTGATCTGTTGGTCTACTCGAAGCAAACAATGGCGCGCCATCGAAATAGTCATATTCCGTCTTTGATCGAACAACGATTGACGACTCGGTTAGCATGGGTGCAGGAGTTGGACGTAATGACTGTGAAGCTCGCATTTCTTCTACAGTCTTCCTGTCCTCAGAGGAGAGAGGTCCATACCTGGTCCCAATGTCTGGAATCCCTTTCTCAGTGAGCCATCGCTGATAAGCTAACTGACTCTCGTGTTTACCCTCTGCAAGGCGAATAAGGCTCAGTCTTTGCATTTCTTCCTCCATCTGTTTGGCTTTTTGTTCCTTTTCCAGTTTTTCTTTCAAATACTGTTGTTTGTCCAAATACCACTGTTGATTGGCTAAAATGCGTGCGCATTCCCTATGGCCCCACACACGCGCTAAAGACATAGGAGTGTGACCGTTTCCGTCGACAGCGTTGATCGTTGCACCAGATTTGATCAACTCCTGCAGGCATTTTACATGTCCTTCACTGGCTGCCTGATGCACTGGAGTGATTCCTGCCTTGGTCGGCCTTAAATAGGGAAAAAACAAATTATCATTCACCACATTCCCACTTACTGGTAGTTAAGCGGACAGCTACAGGTAAAGTAAATCTCATTTTAACAAATACATTCGATTTAGCTGACTGTCTTCTTAAAGGTACCAGATACTAGATGCCTTTAAAATTTGGAAAGAGCAAAAAAGTACCAAATGGAATCTGGTTTGTTTTGTAGAATGAACGGGAAAGTAAAGTAAAACTGAAAAAGGAAATTAAAAGTTTGCCTTTATAGGTCTGACCTGTTTGATGCGTAATTGACCCCGTTTGGGTATTATTCGAAGACATAAGGAACGCGGTTTCTCGTTCGTCAACAGTTTCTGCATTTAACTAGGCAAGAACTATTAAAAAAAATCAATTTTGTAGCGAAGCATTCACTTTATAAATCTGAGAAATCTCGCAAACTATTCCAAAACTATGTGCATGGCCATAGGTGAAAATATTGGAAAAAGTTGTCCAACGTTAGCCACTTGTCTGTTCTCTGATCCATCACAAGCAAAGACTATCACTGCACTTGCAACAGCCAGTTCATTGCATAATAAAGTCGTGTTTACCTTCGTGAAAAGAAAAAAACACACGGGAAGTTGGGAGAACAAGAGAAGAGTTCGTAAATCAAGAGCCGAAGACAAGTGATTTAAAAACTGTCCAAATATTTTACAACATCCCGAAGGGTTATTGATCCCGTACACCGATAGAGAAATTTTGGACTACTCCACTTCGAGTAAAACAGCTATTTTTTTCATAATTTAGCCGGCGCATAGTAGCACAGTTAATTTAGGCAATCAACTGAGTACTGGTGTCTATGATCAAAGTAAGTTGAAGCAAAAAAAAAAAAACTTCTCCAAAATAGCAGCTGAAACTGAATCCTGAGATAAGATTTCTAGCAGCATTCAAAGAAGTTCCTCTTATTCACTGACTCAAAATATGGCGTCCAATCTGAATTACCATTGTTTTTGACTTACTAGCCTCATCTTCATGTGGAAAACATAAAAGGATTATCACATGTGTGAGAGGCTAGCAAGTCCAGAACAATGGCAATTCAAATTGGACGCGAGGTATGACCCCAACTGCAATTTTAAGCAATCAGTACATGGACCTCAGGTATTCTGATTGATTCAGTTGATTTCAGTAATTGAATAAATGTCTTTACACTGTAAGCTTTTAGCCCGCTCAACAATGTTCACAAAAAATGAATGTTCAGATAAAGGATTCAACTAAATTGAAGACAGTTTGGAATGCAGTTTTGTTAAACAACGGCTAAACTTTGTTTAAGTAATAAGAACTTAATCACTCATATGACTTACTAACAAATTGCATTCAACTCAGTTCAATTACCTTTATAAAACAATCATCCTACACTTACCTTGAAGGATCTGCACCTTTCCGCAAAAGATATTGTACACATCTCAAGCCTCTTTTCTTTGTTGACTTGTTAATTGCTAAATGAAGTGGTGTCCATCCAGACGCACTTTGAAAATTCACATCTACTTTATATCTTTCTATCATAACTTTAAGGCATTCAAGCTGTCCATTCTGTGCAGCAAGGTGAATTGGAGCAAGACCCTAAAAGAAAGGTAATGTTAAATATAATCTCACTTTGATAGAATTTAAGGTGTCTCCCATTTGATCTGCTGGTAGCATTAGGGGATCCTGAAACTAACATAGTCTACACTAAAATTCATACATTAATACATGTATATAGCCATCAGTATTGTGGATGGTTCAACACCAGTGGCTAAATTGGGTAGCACTAAAGAGGGATGCATTTTTTCTCTTGTCATGAGCATGACTAACCCTACCCTTAAGAAGAATAAAAGACAGGAAACATTGATGAGGAAACATTGTAAGCTTGTTTGTTATCAGAATAGCTCAACTAAAGGAATGCAAAAAAAAATTTTGTTTTTCTGCCTAGGTTTGTAAAATTACTGGGAAACAACTGGTTTGCAAGCAAAATTTGTCTCCAGGTAGGAAAATTAAATGTTTTGATCTGACACACAAAAAAAGTTTTCTTGTTTCCTAGCAGCAAAATTTACTTCCAGGAAATCTGTTTCTTAACTACACTTCTAAGCTAGAAAACGTTTTTTCTCTACAACAGTGTTCTCCCATCAACATTTTTTGTTGCCAGGCCATTATGTGACAGAGCTGCCTTCATGTTTATCAGGGCATGCACAATACTACAGTGAGGCTTGGCACACAAATGCTTATATGGAATTAACTCGGCACAATAAGAACTGTGATTGTTTGAGACTCATTGCTGAATGAGCTTCAAATCCATGTATCTTTATTATAAAAGTGATCAAATATATGACTTAAGCTTCACTTCATTTGTGGATCTATCTTGCGATGAATTTGCTTTGTCTACACACAGAAATAAATGAATATC